TAAAAATTAAAATTTTCCAAGGGAACGCAATTAGAAATAACAACTGAAATATGTAAGTGAAATGTGCTTTTGTTATACTGAGTCAAATCATCAGAAAACAAACTCATACCAAAAATAAAATAAAGAACTCAAAAAAAACAAGTGAATGTCTAAAAGAAATGCTCTCAATCAGTAGTTCTCAGACTGAAATGTTGACGAGCTCACAGGTGGCCTATGGGCTCATCTGCTACGAAATATTGTTTATAATCTGTTGGTGATGACACTTCACATACATTTGTGTTTTACTTAGAGTTTTCCCCTTTTTGGTAAAACAGTACCATTACTCTAAGTCAATGCTGGTGAGTTGTGTGTAGGTAGTTTGTCTATTTTTCTAAAATTAAGTAGAAGTTTGTGGGGTAGCTGGACCATGAATCAAAAAAAAGCCTAAGAAGTCCTGGTTTGAGGGACCTCTCTGGGACCTTACTGGCCCTAAAATCTTCATTGTTGACAAGTATTTGTTGAGCATCTACTATGAGGTGGCTGGGTGCTGGGAATCTAGAGGTAAATGGCTTGGACCCTACTCTTTATACAAATATAACGATAGCAATGCATACGATTGTGGTACAGAGCAGGAAGTGCAGCAGTCTCGGGATGTCCCGGCAGTGAAACGTGTCTGTGCATTCCATCTTCCCCACTTACCTTCACCTGTGTGTGACCTTGGGTGCATTTCAGCTGTGATGCCAAGTTACAATACTTAGCTGGCAGAGCTTGTAAGGGTCGGAAGAGGTAATGCCACCAAAGCATGAAGCACGTAGCAAGGCCCCAAGTACTCGCTATCGTCATGACTTCCCGGAAGGCTGCCCTGTCTGTTGGTTTGCATCCGCCACCTGACCACACCAGGTCCACTGGGGCGGCGAGTCCAGAGTGTGACCACATGCTGCCGTGCATTGGTGTGAAAATCAAGTCGTGTTTCTGTTTGTTTTCCTTTTTAGCAGGAGTGGTTGAAGATCCCTGTCTGGGGGCGGACTGTCCCAATCGAACCTGTGAGCTGGAAAACGGAGGGGAGCTGTGTGGCTGCATGGAGCCCCCTCCCTACGGAAACAGTGAGTGACACCTGCCGCCACCCCACCCCCAGCCAGACAGGCCCCGCGGGAGACGCCCGGCAGCCATGTAGGAAGGCTTTCGGGTGGGAGCCCGCATGTCCCACACTGTGGGTTAAAAACCCAAGTAACGAAGCTTTCATGAGCATTTAAGCAGAACAAGGAAGGAACCCGACCTCTTCAGAGCAGGCTAATGTTCGTTTCCTTGTAGCTACATCCTTTTCTTCAATAAATGATAACACGCAAATTTGGACATGCATAGCATCAGCCAGCTCCATCTGAGGCCATGTTCAACATCAGAGGGATCCAAACTGATCTTTTAGACTCACAGGGAGATAAGGTGGTTTGACGAAAACATGAAAGAATCAGGATGAGAGTGCCAGGTGATGTAAGACGTGTTTAAAGCCAGCTTTATCTGGCCCGAAGCTTTTCGGTGGGTCCTGAAGAAAGCAGAAATGTTGAAGCAAACGGCAAACAACTAGGACTCCAGGTAGGAGTCCCCATAAGGTAGGAATGGCCTTGTCCCCTGGCCAAGAGCACACTCGTTTTGTCGGCTTGTGGGGGACCTGCTTTGCTTCCCAGCTCCGTGTCCTTGGCTGAACCAAGGAACTCAGAAGGCACATGCCACGTTTAGCATCATCAGAGAATGAAAGCCTGGTTGACCAGAAGGCTCCGCAGAAGGGGACCACATGTGCTGTTCAAAGGCTTCACCTAGGCAGATAAAAACGTTTCTCTCCGTTTCTTTAGTGCTTATTAGCCTGTGTTTGTGTACTCACGGAAAATGTCCACTGGCACATTCCATTTCAAAAAACAAGAGCTCCGAGTGCCGGCCTGGGTACCAGCTGGGCTGTGGAGTGGCCTGACCAGGGCTGCCCTCACTGGGGGCACGTTCTTTAGCCAGGCCACAGTGAGCCAGATGCGGTATGGAGCTTACGGACAGTAGCTACCACCAAAGCGGGGCGGAAATCCTGGGTTTAGGAAGAAAAGATCAAAGACGCTTTGTATAGCATTTACACCTTTAAAAAAAGGCTCTCTGGGGACTTCCCTGGTGGTCCAGTGGTTAAGACTCCTCGCTTCCAATGCAGGGGGCGTGGGTTCGACCCCTGGTTGGGGAACTGAGATCCCACGTGCCACACGGCATGGACCAAAAAAAAAAAAAAAAAAAAAAAGGCCTTGCATTGCCCAAGTTATTGCTTTGAATGAGTTCATATACTCATTTAGTTTGATCAGAGCCTCATTAGAAATGCTGCAGCCTCTGTGTGAAGCCCATCAGTCTCTTCTAAAGAGAATGGGGTGCTTCGCCCACCCACACAGCAAGACCAACTCCCACTGACGTGCCTTTCATAATGACTGTTTCCCCACAGACTCCCACGACATCATTGACGCAGAGGTGACCTGCAAGGCTGCCCAGATGGAAGTGTCCATATCTAAGTGCAAACTCTTCCAGCTCGGCTTCGAGAGGGAGGGTGTGCGGATCAATGACAGGCAGTGCACCGGCATTGAGGGAGAGGACTTTATCTCCTTTCAGATCAACAACACCAAAGGGAACTGTGGAAACATTGTGCAGGTGAGGAACGAGGGCAGGAAAGAGCACCTGGCTGAGGTGGTGACAGCTCCAGGTGTTTGCACATTGATTGTTCTTAAGCCAACTTCAGGGGTTCGACTTAGAAACATGCTCCTTGGAAAACAGCAAAAGGCACGTGCGAAATGAAGGACAGCGGGAAAATAATCATTGGGTGCTAAGTGGTTGAACTGAAAGCAAGATAAGTGACATGCTTCCTTCCCTGGTTTGCGCTGTCTGCTGTCCTTTGCCCTGCATGTTGACACATGTTTTTACCTCTCTCATGCTTCTGTTGTTCTTCCAGGTAAAGACAGCTGGGTTCAGCTATTTCAGGGTGTAAGGGTGTCCCAGACATCACTTAACAGTTGGCTGCAGAAATACAGCAAGGTCACAACACTTTGTGTCGGGTTATCCAATTCATAGGTTAGCAAAGCATCTCACTTCTCTTCCTCCTGTGCCTTCCTACTGTCTTTTTTTGATAACTGTGTTCATTAACACTTTTTATCAGGGAGTGAAAGGTGCAAGACGGTGAAACATGCATGTGTTCATTTTGGTACTTGTGGGCTGTCTGGTACAAGACTTGGCGGAGGCTGGATTTTGAATTAAGACTTGAAAGAGAAGATATATATTACCTCAGGATGGCAATACTCCATGCTGTCCCCAGCTTGGGTTCCCACAGATAACTGGGGACCGGTTGTACTTAGAATTCAGTGGTACATGAAATCACCCTCCGTGGGCATTCAAGGTTATCAGACTGAAGGGTGCTGTTGACATCTATTGTCTTCTAGTAAGTGCTGAGACTAGCTCCATCCTGATTTATATTGGCCTCTGGGTTATATATGAAATGAAGCCGTGTTTCCACTTTCCGGCCCGTGGATTTGAAATGCAAGCCACATACTCGCGCCCAGATTTAATGATTTCTGACCTCCCTTTGCTTTGCAGTCCAATGCCACTCATATCATGTATAAAAACACCATTTGGATAGAAAGTGCCAACAATACTGGCAACATCATCACCAGGGACAGGACGATCAGTGTGGAATTTTCATGTGCTTATGAGCTGGATATCAAGATCTCCTTGGACTCTGTCGTGAAGCCTATGCTAAGGTAGAGAATCTCATGGGCTGTGCACGTTGCTCTGTCTTTTCCTTGACAGTTAAGGTTAGCACAGTCAAAACTGCTAGCATCTGTCTCTGAAGCACTAGGGAGAGAATAATTCATATTTTCTGAACCTAGATGCCTTAGACCAGCATTGTTCGATAGAACTTTCTGCAGTGATGGGAATGTCCTATATCAGTACTGTCCAATACAGTAGCTGTATATGGCCATTGAGCTCTTGAAATGTGCCAGGGCGAGAGAGGTGCTGAGGAACTGAATTTTTAATTTTAATTAAAATTAGATTTAATTATTTAAATTTAATTATTAGACTTTACTACTCTCTGCTTGGCCTTCCCTCTGCATTTTCAGCCTGGAAAACGGTAAGTAATTGAATAGATAACGTTGCTTGGGGTTCCCCGACTTATGACTGTTTCTCTTGTAGCGTCATTAACCTGACAGTTCCAACCCAAGAAGGCAGCTTCACCACCAAGATGGCGCTCTACAAAAATGCCTCCTACAAACATCCATACCGCCAGGGCGAAGTGGTGCTGACGACTCGAGATGTGCTGTATGTAGGGGTCTTTGTGGTTGGAGCCGATTCCACGCATCTGATTCTGACGCTGAACAAATGCTACGCCACCCCCTCCCGCGACAGCAATGACAAGCTCCGATACTTCATCATTGAAGAAGGGTGGGTAGCCTCTTCTCGGAGGACAGTCTCAGAGCCTTTAGTATTAGATTTGCCTACATTGTTCTTTAGGGAAGAGAATGGGAACTAACATTTGTTGACGACCTACAGGGCCAGCATTTTGCACCCAAGAACTGTCTAATCCTGATGACAACGTATGAGGTAGATATTATAAGCCCCATTTTACAGATGAGAAGGCTGAGGCTTAGTGAATCAAGCAGTGCTTAAATCCACAGCAGTTTAGTGGTAGATCACCAGTTCCATGTGGCATTAACTACAAAATGCTTTACTCTCAATGTGACCCAAGAGGGCATTCTGTCCTGCCTACTTGAATTTCAATCTGAGTTGAATGTGGATTATCTGCAAACGAAAGGATGTAAGGAGAATAACTAAAGGTTGGTGAATAGAACATCCATGAAAATTAAAAAGGGATTAGAATGATAGCTTATAAACTTTTTTTTTTTTTTAACTTACCAGTATATGCCCAGCACCTAGCATATTTCCTGAAACAGCATGGTTAGGCAACAAAATTGTTGAATGAATGAATAAATGAATGGGTGAATGAAAAAGAAGAAAAGACTGGACCAAACAACCGCCATGATAATTATCTTTATTTTATAAACATACTTACTGGTTTTGTCAAGCAACAATACTTTTTTATTGCATACATAATTTATATACAATATAATGTACTTGTTCTAAGTGCAAAATTCAATGATTTTTAGTAAATTTACAGAGAAGTGCAACCATCACCATAATCTAATTTTGGAACATTTCCATCATCCCAGTACCATAATTCTTAAAAGCAGTTGACTATGTTAATCAAAATTCTTTCTCTTATAAGCGGTAGAGACCATTTCAAACTAGTTTATGCAAAAGCAAGGCGCTTAATGGTTACGAAACCAAATCACGTTAAGCAGATGTGGCTTCAGGGATTGGGTCCAGGAAGCCAGATGCTGTGACTCCCTCCCTCCCTCTATCCCTTGCTCTCTGTTTCTCTGTCTCAGTCACTGTCCCTCTCTGTCTCTGTCTCTCTCATTGACCTCGTTAGACACTGGCATTTTTTTCAGCATTGTAACCCCCCGGAGTGAGCATTCCTTCTAACCCCAATTCAGGGAATCCCTGAGAAGGAGTATGATTAGCCTTTCTTGGATGGATTTCCTCTGCCATGTTTGGAGGAGATGCAACATTAAATTGCCTGGTGTTGTGGAGGACAAAGTTTTTCTTGACCCTCTTAGGGTTCCTGGCTGGGTCTGAACATTAAATGGACAAAGACAGATTAACAGGAAAAAGGCATAACATTTATCTAATGTAAGTTCTACGTGACTTGGGAGTCTTCATAAGGAAACGAAGACTCGAAGAAACAGTTCACGCTGAGCATTGTTATGCCCGGCTTGATGAAGAGTGGACAGTCGTGGAGAAGGTCAAGAGTATGTGGTAATTGTAGTAAACTGCGGGGAATCTTAGCCAGACTGTTCAGTTTCATCTCAGTGTCCCTTTGTCTTCAGAAATAAGGATGCTCCTTTCCTTCTGGTATAGGGAGGGCACCTCTCACATAAGGGCTTTATGACCTGTTTCAGGTGAGAAGAGTGACATTCCTGGTTCTGCCATTTTCTCAAACTCCTTCAGCTTAAAATATTCAAGGTGCCAGGTTTGGGGGTAGTGTTTCTTGAACCCTATCCCAGGCCTGAGTCAGCATCCCTCCCTGGAGTGGTCAGGGAGTGCTATGGATACTGTAATTACCCTTAAAGTTGGGGAAGGAAGGGATGGTTCTAGGCAGACAAACAATAGCCACTGTTTTGCACATGAACAGCTCAGAGCCTGTACACAGCTCACCCAAGGACACCCAACCAGCAAGGGGCAGAGGAAGAAATCTTTCAAGCACCAAGACGCATCAACTCCCTACCTGGCCAGGTGTGGCTTGTGGCCTGCGTTGCTGAGGCACAGAGTGGGATTTTCAGCAAAGGCCTCATGAAGGCACTACCTTTTTGAGTTGATTTTTAGCCTCCCTAGAGGCAGAGGGAAGGACTTGGTGACTGTGTGGTGTCTTAACAGGCCCAGATGCTCTGGCTAACATCACAGGTCTCCGTTTCTTCATCTGTTCCCTTCCTCTCCCTCCCCCTCCCCGCGCCCCAGCCATGGCCCTTTCCCAAAGTAAAAGAGCTACGATCTGAGCCGCTGTACAACCCGGGTGGGCAGGCTTGGGCCGCCTTTGAAGGACACTGTGGCATTTAGCATTTTTTAAATAGTATTTAATAGAGTTGACCCAGAGAGGGAGAGTAAGTGAGCGGGTTCATAAGTCTCAGCTCCCCCCAGGGTCTGCATGAAGGTCTCTTCAAATTAAACCGTTGTTGGGTGTGAAGTAATTTCATCGTGTGAGAGAATTTAATTCATGAGTCCTCTTGATCTTTCTTGGAGGGATGTGGTTATTGGTTTTTCCCAGTGAGCTTACGGGAAAACTGCTGCCCAGTGCTGAATGGCTGAGCAGCAGAGTGGGTCCGCATCAGAATTTGGGGGGAGGGGCCAGCCGCTCCTCTCCAGCTACGTTGGGGGCAGAGACGCCACTGCCATCTACCAGTGATGCCAAGGTCTGGGCACACGAAGGTCGCTTCTCTGTTCTCTTCATGTGCCCAGAGGAAAGGACGCTCGTTCCTCTGATAGTGGACAAAGGATTCTGGTGCTCGGTTTGTTTGTCCCCCTAAGGCGGCAACCAGACAGCCTGTCCCTGCTTCCCGAGGCTCCTTCCTTCTGCTTCCTGTTCTTCTGACACTTAAACCTTGAATCATCTCTCTGGGAGTTGGGGGTCTAGTTAAGACGGAAGGTCTGCGTGAAGACTGGAGGGCTGAGAATGTTGTAGAATCCTTGAACCAATTTAGATTATTCAGATGAGTCACAGTGACAAGGAAAAGTATGGCAAGTAAGTTTTTGTTTCAAAGCATTTAAGGAAACTATTGCCTTATGGACTAACTACCAAACTGAATAGGTGTGGGAATGCTGAAGGATAACTTCCATTTTTAATTTTCCTTATCACGAAGCTACTGAATCCTGGGGGCCAGGGGAAGGAAACGTAAGGAAAAGAGTCACCCTTTTTATCTCGATAAGATCGTTTTAAAGAGCTTCTTGGCCGCAGTGCGCCAACCTTGGCCATGGAAGCACAATTCATTCATTCAGTCGCTGATTCATGCAGTCTAAAAAAAAGATTTTTTTCTTTGGTCTAAAAATTAAGTATAATTTTAATACCATATTTCAAACAAAACGGTTCTGAGAGTTAACACTGTACGTAATGTTTCAAAAGTAAAAGTACAGCTTTATATATACACATACACGTTCTCTCAGAGCTGAAAGACGGGTCATAGCTTTTATTGCTTTTCAGGCAAATATTTGTGTGAGTATGACTAAAGAGCATCTAAGTATTCTTTTTAATTTATTTTTCATTTTTATTTATTGTTTTACAGTACGTCCTTGTTGGTTATCTATTTTAAATACAGCAGTATGTACATGTCAACCCCAAACTCCCAATCTATCCCTCGCCCCCAGCCTTCCCCCCCGGTAACCATAAGTTCTTTCTCTAAGTCTGTGAGTCGATTTCTGTTTTATAAATAAGTTCATTTGTATCACTTTTTTTAGATTCCGCATATAAGCAGAATATCATATATTTATCTTTCTCTGTCTGACTTACTTCACTTAGTATGATAATCTCCAGGCCCATCCATGTTGCTGCAAGTGGCATTATTTCGTTCTTTTTAACGGCTGAGTAATATTCCATTGTATATATGTACCACATCTTTTTAAATACTTACTGCGTGCCCTCCAGTGTGTTGGAGACACAGTGAGGACTACACCTTGGTTCCTGAAGCCCAGGGGCTCAGCAGGGTGTTGTTGGCAAATCCAGGCAAAGCCACCTGTTCCTGCCTGGTCAGGGCATGTGTATATAGGAGGGGGAGCCACAGATGGGCAATGGAGAAAGAGCAGGGTTAGTTAGCAGTGGAAGGAGTGCAGAGAGGCTTCCAGGTGGGGGAAACAGTACATGAAAGACCCTGGGGCATAAGAGACTGTGGTCCATTTAAGAAACTCTAACAGGTGGAGGCGAGATACCTGTGTCCCTGCCTGTTGGCTCAGTACCACAAGGAGAGGGGAAGGGAGTGATCCCTACGTCAGAACAATCGTTCAGCTCACCTTAGACTGCTGGTCCGTCTTCTCCAGCTCCCACAAGTGAAAACAGATTTGCCAATAGAGTTTGAAAAAGGGGCCCCTGCCAAAACTGATAATTAACTGAAGAAAGTACAGAAGATGTAAGGACTCATCTTGTGTTTATTAAACTGATATCAGTAAAACACAGCATCGTGAGGGGGAGGAATGAGAAACGGGCGGGTAGGGAAATTGAGTGCAGGCCCGTGGTCATTTTGTTTTTAGCTGTAGTTAAGATCCTAATTTGAGGTGCTGTTTGATGCTTTTCCAACAAACTGAAACTATAAGGGAGTCGTAGTAAATGACAGACCCACACACTCCAGAGGTCACCTTCAAACGCAAAGGCATTTTTACCGTTCATGATGGTTTTTGTATGAAACGTGAAAGTGTGAAGCAGAGAGTCCCTTTTTTCCGAATAGGTGTCAGAACATTAAAGACAACACCATTGGCATCGAGGAAAACGGTGTCTCCCTCACCTGTCGCTTCCACGTCACCGTCTTTAAGTTCATTGGGGATTACGATGAAGTCCATCTTCACTGCGCAGTGTCCCTCTGTGATTCAGAAAAGTACTCCTGTAAAATAGTAAGTGAGAGCGTGAAAATTCGGTGCTTAGCTTTATTTCTCTCAGTCCCAGTTTTCCCCACGTGGGGAGTCACGAATCCCGACGTCGGTGGCTCTTTAGAGTTCTTTAGGACTCACTGCACCTGGCAGTGGCTGAATTGGAACCATCTTCAGATGTCTAGGAGTGGCAGTCATCTGGAACAATAAGAGAGCAGGGTAGAATGATGACCATTTACTCCTTTTATCTGACTTAGCAATGTCAGTCTGTTGTCGGCATAACACTAGACCAGGGTTTCTCAAACCTCAGCACTACAGACATTTTGGACCAAATGATTCTTTGTTGTAGGGCTGCCCTGTGCTCTGTAGGCTGTTTAGCAGCATCCCTGGCCTCTACCCAGTAGACCCCAGTATCACCTGCTCCCCACTTGCAACACCCAAAATGCCTCCTGACTTTGCCCAGTGTCCCTCGGGGGGCAAAATTAGCCCTGTCTGAGAACTAATATGCCAGAGTCAGGCCACCTGCATCTGAGGTGAGCGATGGGGCCAAGCTCCCCTCCACCACAGAAGCAAACTCCCGGGCTCAGGATACACTTTATCCAGGTGTCCTTTAGACAGGGATTATCCCATAGATCGTCCAAATCCACACCCAGGCCTGAGGCTCTGGAGGGGCTGGCGGGATGAGGTGACAAACCAATCATCTGGTCCACGCCAGGCTTGCATCCCCACCACGTAAGGCTACGTCCCTAAGATTTTACTGCACTAGTACCTCGTCCCTAACCTTTAACACTGCAGCTTTATGCTCGCCCCATGTTGGCCGAATCGAGATGTGAATTATGGTCAGAGCTACTTTCAGATGTTGCTGCGTACATTACTGTCTGATCTGATACGGGATCCTCCTCCCTGGGAAGGGAGCCTCTTTGAATCTAATTCTAGTGTGGAGAATATATTTAATTCTGTTCCACATAAAGCCCCGAGTCCCAGTGGGCTCAGTGATCAAGAATGGATTGATTCTAATTAATCTGAGCTGCAGCAGTGCTCCAGGCTGAGCCACTGCCTCTTTTGGAGGTGGAAACGTGGTGAAGAATAAGTTATCAGCTTAATTGTGTGAAATTTTCCCTCCGGTGTTCTGTCTTTCAGAATTGCCCTCAAAATTCCAGGATTGCCACAGATTACAGCAAGGAACCTAAAGCACAGATCATCTCAGTGGGACCTATTAGGAGAAAAAGTATGTGCGTTCCCTAAAACACACTATAAATGATTGAAACAGTGGGATTTGAAGGCTCGGGCTAAGTCTGGGGTGTGTTTTGCCTACTATGTGAATCTGGTGAACAAGGAGCTTGAGGACGCCAGTTTGGGGACCCCAGTTTGAGAAGCCTGCCCGCTTCCATAATGAAATCTTTTCACGGACTATTAAAAACTCATGACAGTACCGGGATTTTTTCCTTCCACTCCTCTCTTTAAGGCCTTGCCCTTAGATACGAGTTGAAGAGCTGGACTGTCTGCAGGTAACTTGTCCAGCGGCTCTTTTTCAGGGCTGGACTGGTGTGAGGACAACGGAGGGTGTGAGCAGATCTGCACGAGCCGGGTGGACGGGCCTCTGTGCAGCTGCGTGACGGGGACCCTGCAGGAGGACGGCAAGAGCTGCAGAGGTGAGCACGACTCCCGTTCAGGGCCGGCAGCTGGGGACATAGGAAGTTCTTGACCCTGAGAAGGAGACAGTCCTATGTGAGGCCCACTCGGTCAGCAACTGATCTATGAGACTTCCAGAAAGTAAGAAGGAGAGATGAGGAAAACGCCCAAGGAATTCTAGCATCATTTTGGGTTTTTTTTTTTAAAACCTTTTGGTCCCTGCTCTTTTATCTAAAAGATAAAAGTGATTTTTTTTCAATATCTTTATTGGAGTATAATTGCTTTACAATGGTGTGTTAGTTTCTGCTGTATAACAAAGTGTATCAGCTATACGCATATGTATATCCCCATATGCCCTTCCTCTTGCGTCTCCCTCCCACCCTCCCACAGCTCTAGGTGGTCGCAAAGCACCGAGCTGATCTCCCTGTGCTATGCGGCTGCTTCCCACTAACTATCTATTTTATATTTGGTAGTGTGTACGTGTCAGTGTTACTCTCTCACTTTGTCCCAGCTTACCCTTCCCCCTCCCCGTGTCCTCAAGTCCATTCTCTACATCTGTGTCTTTATTCCTATCCTGCCCCTAGGTTCATCAGGACCATTTTTTTTGTTTTTAGATTCCATATATATGTGTTAGCATATGGTATTTGTTTTTCTCTTTCTGACTTACTTCACTCTGTATGACAGACTCTAGGTCCATCCACCTCACTACAAATGACTCAATTTCGTTTCTTTTTATGGCTCAGTAATATTCCATTGTATATATGTGCCACATCTTCTTTATCCATTCATCTGTTGATGGACACTTAGGTTGCTTCCATGTCCTGGCTATTGTAAATAGAGCTGCAATGAACATTGTGGTACATGACTCTTTTTGAATTATGGTTTTCTCAGGGTATATGCCCAGTAGCGGGATTGCTGGGTCGTATGGTAGTTCTATTTTTAGTTTTTTAAGGAACCTCCATACTGTTCTCCATAGTGGCTGTATCAATTTACATTCCCACCAACAGCGCAAGAGGGTTCCCTTTTCTCCACACCCTCTCCAGCATTTACTGTTTGTAGATGTTTTGATGATGGCCATTCTGACCGGTGTGAGGTGATACCTCATTGCACTTTTGATTTGCATTTCTCTAATGATTAGTGCATCCTTTCATGTGTTTGTTGGCAATCTGTGTATCTTCTTTGGAGAAATGTCTATTTAGGTCTTCTGCCCATTTTTGGATTGGGTTGTTTGTTTTTTGATATTGAGCTGCATGAGCTGCTTGTATAGATGAAGGTGATATTTAAAGAAGGAAGTTATCCAGCCATTTAAGTACCAAATATTGGCCTTAGATCTGGCCCCCTGTCTACCTGGATTGAGCTGGGACTGGGGTGTGTGATCCAACAAACAAGGTTTCCTGCAATAGCCTTGGCTGCCAGGTGTCCCCGGTACCCTCTAAGTTAGCAGGACTCTCCTAAAGGTTGGGTTAATTTTGCTTCCGTGCTGCCTGAGTCCAGGCCATTTGGAGAAAGTGGGTTCTTGGCAATGAAGAAAGTAGGTTCCTTTATTGGAATGCCACAAAGATGTCTGATCCATGTCGAACAGGTATATTTTTTTTCATAGGACTTACTATGTCTCTCTCTGTTCACAGCCTCTAATTCTTCCATTGAACTTCAAGTTTGGACGCTGCTTCTCATCATGACCCAGATTTCATTATGGCATTTTGTCTATACATCAGGCACGACCTCATAATTAACTCAAGGTTGCTATATAAAGTACTGTAATTTACTTACTTCAACTCCCTGTAGGATAAAAGGTGTGTGCCCTTAAGTGAAAACCTATTTGAGATTGCCCACTGTCTCGAAGTGATGCCACCTGCCCCAAACGGTCAGGGTTCCAGAAAAGAGGGAAATGCCATGCTCCTCTTTCAAGGTATGCAACTGGGCTTCTAAAAGCCAGTTGTGGAAAACATATATCTTGCCTAAAATTTCCAATTAGTTGTCACTAGAAACGTTGGTTCGCATGAAAAACCGGTAAAGGAGAAAATTCTGGTTAGACAAGTCTGTCAGAAATCTGACCAGAGAAATCTATCCCACCAGTGCTGTTTCTGTATCATAGTTTTTATAGAGAAAGGGCCTGTTGGAACGATATCGAATATTGAGAAGCGGTGATTGGAAGGTTTGACTCCCTCTAAGGAATCTCTCCGATGTTTGGAAGCATCTGACCTCGATGCGCCTGTGTTGCTCCCCTCCCCACACCCGCCGCTGTGTCCTCCAGCCCTGACGGGCCACGTGGCCACTGCATGTATTGTTTGCAGACCTGGGGAACCCCAACACCCCATCCGTCTCTTCAGACCCAAACTCTTCTCTCTCACAAATCAACCAAATCATTTTTAACGTGTTTTATGCTTAAATAAACTTTGTGTTCAATTATTCTCATTACTCTGTGGCTGGAATCATACTTATCGACGGTAAGCTTTGCACACCAAATAGCATCCTCTGATTTAAAAAAAACAAAAAAACCAAAAAACCAGCAGCAGCGACTGGAGCAGGTAGGCCCTGCTGGCCAGCGTTTTGTTAATGTGGCTATTTGTCCTGACAGAGCATCAGCAGGTTGTTTAGTGAGGTGCCATGTAGAAGAGAAGCAGGCAGCGTCCTCTTTTGTATGTGGCACAAAAAACCCACATTTACTATAATTAACTACACAATAGAGGGCCTGGTAAATATATCCCTGGGGTGCCTCTCTTTTTAAGGTTAAAAACAAGGTAAACGCCACTTCAAGTTTATTTTGAAGTTGTTTTGGATTTAAGCTGATGGCATTTTTTTCTTTCTCTGGGAACTCTGGGCAGAAGCGCTAAGCAGAAATCCTAGCGTCCTTGACCGTGGGTTGTGGGTACGATTCCTGTTGTCTTACCTATAAAAGGCCCGGCATCACACTGTCACTGGGCTGAAGAAGCGGGGTATAGACTGAGTCTGCACTGAGCGGCTTTGCTCTCCCAGCCCCGGGGAGGGTCCACAAGCTCTAGCTTGGTAGTCATAGATGCTATGCAGCCAAGAGGACAACCAGTATTGATGGAGAAAAATATGCATCTGCTTCAACTTAAACATCTTAGGATCTTTTGGGAAAATGCTGAACATTGAGATGGATTAAGGAATCAAACCATCTGTTCTAGGAGAGACACAGTATCTCTTCCTCACCATGATGGAAATTGATGTCATGTACATGTTTTTTTTCACGTGAAAATCCTCAACTCCAGACTTTCCCCCACTTCAAGATCAGCAGACTTAGAGCTCCATTCTCATTTCCATAGTCTAAGGTTTAGGTTTTCACAATCAGATTCTGAGTTGAACACAGTAACATCTCATTTATTTTTTTAACTTGATTTCCTTAGATGAATTTTAACTGAAGACATACAAGGAGGAAATGTTTTCATATTTAATAACTTCTCTTTATTGATTTTCATATCAAAGTCACTAGAATTTTCTAAATTAAACACTATAATTGTTTTTTAGATTTTTAATTCAATCCTTTCTTACCACACTTTAATTCTTGGCCTTTGGTCTTCTCACTTGGTGGACACCTTTGTCTGTCATCAGGATAAGCTAGGTGTAGAGCCATATTAGAACACCCCAGAATCTCAGTGGCTTAAACAACAAAGATTTCTCTCTTTCTCACATCAGGGGGCTCTGATCCTTACTTCCATCCTGGGAGGGAGGTTGATGAGACTTTATTATCTTTTTTTCTCTCAACAGAATTTATTGAACAATTTATCCTTTCCCCATGGGACTTCAGTACCGCCTTTATCATACATCAAGTTTCAACCTCTGTGGTTCTCTTTGTGAGCTCTGGATTCTCTTCCATTGGCTATTTGTCTGTTCCTGTGTCAGAATCACATTATTACTATTATTTTTTTTTTTGCGGTATGCGGGCCTCTCGCCGTTGTGGCCTCTCCCGTTGTGGAGCACAGGCTCCGGACGCGCAGGCTCAGCGGCCATGGCTCACGGGCCCAGCCGCTCCGCAGCATGTGGGATCTTCCCAGACCGGGGCACGAACCCGTGTCCCCTGCATCGGCAGGCGGACTCTCAACTACTGCGCCACCAGGGAAGCCCTGAATCACATTATTATTGAGATATAATTGACGTATAGCATTACATCAGTTTCAGGAATATGACATAATGATTCGATATATATATACACACTAGGAAATGATCATCACAAAAGTCTAGTTAACATCCATCACCATACACAGTTACAATCTTTTCTCCTGTGATGAGAACTTTTAACATCTACTCTTTTAGCAGCTTTCACATATGCAATACGGTATTATTAGCTATACTCACCATGCTGTACATTACATCCCGAGGATGTATCTATTTTGTAACTGGAAGTTTGTATCTTTTGACCCTCTTCACCCATTTTACCATGCCTCTGGCAACCACCAATCCATTCTATGTTTTTTGTTTTGTTTTGTTTTTAGATTCCCCCATATAAGTAAGAACATACTATGTGTGTCTTTCCCTGTCTGACTTATTTTATTTAGCTTAATGCCCTCAGGGTCCATCCATGTTATTGCAAATGGCAGAATTTCTTCCTTTTGTATGGCTCGATAATACTCCATTGTACATACAGACCATATCTTCTTTATGCCTTCACCCGCCGATGGACACGTAGGTTGTCTCCGTGTCTCGGCTATTATAAATGATGCTGCTGTGGACACCGGGGTGCAGGTATCTTTTGGAGTTAGTGTTTTCATCTCCTTTGGATAAATGCCCAGAAGTGGAATTGCTGGATTGTATGGTACTTCTATTTTTAATTTATGGAGGAACCTCCCTACTCTTCTCCACAGTGGCTGCACCCATTTACATTCCCACCAATAAGGGATTCCCTTTTCCCCAAGTCCTCACCAGCACTTGTTATTTCTTGACACTTCATTATCTTTTGATGCTGCCAGCTCAAAACGAGGCTCTGGGGCTCACCTCAGCTAGGGGTCACACCCCAGAAGGGACACACACACTTCTGTTACCATTTCACTGGCCGAAGCAAGGTACATGGCTGGAACTAACTTTCAGAGAGGGGGAATTGTGAACTTCCCATGAAACTGGGAGGGAGGAGAACTGGAAATCTGTGGTGATGGCTGCCAAGTAGTCTCTGAGCCAGTCATGCCCATCTGTATTAAAGAGAAACACATCTACAGAACTAAAAACAAACAGGTCCCTTAGCTGACTGTCTGCAAGGCAGAAGAACTAGGAGATGATCCTGACCTTTCTACTAACTTGATTCTCGGCTTGAAATAAATCATTTGAGATCACAATACCTTAACTTTCCTCTCTATAAAACGAGAACTTTAAGCTTTTTAAAAAATATTCTTAGGTTAGAAAATGACACGATACAAACATAAACCATATGATATCATATATTTAGAGAACTCCAGAACACTGCCTTCTCCTGCCACTCAAAAAGATTTGCTTCAAGGAAGCAGGGCGGGGGGATGGGGGGCTGGGGTGAGGGGGAAGCACATGTTTAGTGAAGGTGACAATTGGGAATCTTATTAACTTGGTATTTCTCTGATATCAAAAAGAAACAACATCTCGGGGTCTGGCATTTCTGACAATTGAGAATTCTATAATTAGTTTCTTAACCAGTAGTAAGTATGCGCTCTGCTCAAAATCCTAGTGCCAAAACTTGAGAGCACCAATTGTTTCACATTGTCTAATATTCTAGATATTTTTAGAACCATTTGACATTTAGTGAGAGCTTGAAATCTAATAAAACTTCTTTCAACCAAGGAAATTAAGTAATTATCAAAAAATGACAATCATACAGGTTTAAAGTAATAAAGAATTACTTCTTTACTAATTCTGAATTAATTTAGCATCTACCCCATTTTGAACCTTCCAGCCTCTCTTCTTGAACTCAGGGTATTTCTACATCCTGTAGAGCAGTGCAATTTGGTCCTGGTTAGAACACGATGGTATTTTTCAGGGCCCTGATTCACGGGAATCCGCAGCACAACTCAGTGAAAAAGAAAATCAAACAGCACCCTCTAGTGTCCGCATTTTATTTTTGCATGAAACCCAAACGTATATTGAACGACACCAATCAAAATATGATTTCTCCCCCTCCTCGAAACCTTAGATGTGGAACATTACCAGAACATAGCTCTAGAGAACACATCATATGCCAAGGACATTTCTGGAGAACAGCGTGAGATTTATTCTTATACACCCAGTAAGCATCATTTCAGGAAAATACCAGCTCTTGGTATCCCATGCAAATTTTGCCCTTAATATCTATCTCTCTAACGTGTTGACAAAAATAGCTGTCGAGAAAAATTAAGTATCTCTTTAAAATGCTGAGAAATAAACAATGTGATCAAGAAAAGCCATGAAATATTTAGCGGTCTTTCTTTTCCCCCAGCAGAACGTGAAATGCTTTCTTATGAATCTAAAGCACAACAACCATAACTCTGGTCTGACTAATGGAAGACTCTGTTTGTGATGGTTTAATTATGTTTGCTGAAATATGACTCTCATATAAGACAACATCTCCGTGGCAGAGGGACAGATCTCTGTCTATAGTCAGAAATAAAACACAAAGACTCATCGCTCCATGAAGAACTCGGTAATCAAATTCTATTTGCTAAGGAAACAAATGGAGGAAGAATGTTCTTTGTATATTTTGCAGTGTGTTTCTGTTTGCATGTGGCCTCTGGCTTAGCTGCTGTTTCATTCATTAGCATAAAATATTGATGATGAAATAGTTTTGAAACTTAGACATTCTCTCATCAGATGAAATAACAATACCTTATGCGCATGGAGCATCTTTCATAACAAATGCTTTCCCACCCGTATTTACTATTATTCAATCCTAAATCATGCTGCATTTTGACAGAGAAATCAGAGGGAAAGCGTTAGGTTGAAGTTACAATGGCTTAAAGTACTAGCTAAGGAAAAATGCAAACCCACTCATATGTGTGCTTGTGCTTATAGGTTTATTGAGTAATTTCCAACATATGAGAATGATAGCAGTCTTTTCAGCCTTTTGTGCCTTTTAAGAACAAACAAACCATGACATACCATTCTTGGTTTCCCCCACTAACTCCTGAATTTCTTTGGGGAATAGTTTAGGGTACAATAATCCACTGATATTACCCTATTTTTAGTTGGGCAAAAATATATGATTTTACTGGAAAGGATAACATTTTTAATTATTGTACTTTAGGTCTTGAAAATCTTTGCATTGGATCTATCTAGGACTCACAAAAGTTTTCTGATTTAAACACTCTATTCACATAGAAATATGCTATTAAGTTAATTATGTGTTAATCAAAGACAAAAATGCGTGGCTCCTGTACTTTCCTCTTACCTGCCACAAACATTCTCAATGCAACCAGCCGTCCTAGTCCTTGAGTGTAGTTTAAATATCTACATGGATCATTCAAATCAAGGAGTTACAAGTGTACATTCAATGATGTTCTCCATGAGTCTCTGAATTCACGACTGCAAAATGCTGTTAAGAAATATCTTCATCCCTGCAAAAGAGGAACTCTGCTCTCTTGAAGAGTCCTGAGCAGAAAGCAATTTGGCAAACTAATTCGACAAGGGAAAATGATGAATGATAAATGAACATAAAATGTGAACGTGTCTAGGTGTTGTAGCAGAATATTAAAGGCATAAAGTGAGAGCTGTGGATAGCACAGAACACATTTTTTTTTTTCTCTCTAAAAAAGCCACAGATTCTAAATGCTTACTTTGAACCTCCAAGACAGGAGTGGAAATATTCTAAATATTAATTCCAGATTAGCAGAGTCTAGAGATGCTTGGCCCCTATAGATTGTATTCACATCTCCCATGTGTTAACATTTATTAGTTGTACTTTTGCCCTTTTGGCCCTTTTCATAAACAATTACTTTCACTAGTTAAGTTTAAGTGGAAATCAAGAACTAAGTCAACAGAGGGAGAGAAATCTTACCACATTTACCTTAAAAACCCGCCACCACCTTGGACCATAGTGAACAATTTAGCGAATGACTGCAATGAGTTTAAATGCACACTATTTAGGCAAATTGCCCTGAAAGCACAGGTTGCCTAAACCCTAGGGAAACGCATCTGCACATACAACTCTAAACACTTTTAAGTTTAGGAAGAGCAGTTTACGACAGTCACAACAAATGAGGACATTGCTGTGTTCCCAGGTATTATACTCTTAAAAACACAAATTCATCAAAAGTCAGCTTTCCTGGGTAGACCCCCAAAGAGGTACCCATGACTCCTAGAAGCCAGGAGACCTCACAGCTACAGCAGTATGAACTCTTTTATATTTCCTCTCCCTTTGAGTTTTCCATACTGTGTTGGCAGCTTGAAACTACAGAACTTAAAATTGGATGATGGTTGAAATTTTCCATAATAAAATGTTGTGGAATGTATGGGTGTATTTCTAAGTCTTCTACCAAAAAGTGTCATCCTGAGGTGCCTGAATACTACAGAAACAACACAATGCCTCATCTTTCAGTCTAATCTTAGAAGTGGGTTCTTTAAATGCCACTTCCAAAACATGAAGTGATCACTGACAATGCATGCTCCTATGGCAGCTTTATTTTTATGAACAACTGAAAATGCAAGCATTTTCACAAATTCCTACATTATTTATTCCAATCCTATTCTGGGCTTTTCCTTCTCACCAGAAGAATGTAAATGTCCATAGGTTGGAAAAATGAGTGGTATAACCTTTCAGTTTCGTGAAGGTAGGACAAGAAGATTTCACTCCAACATGTAAGAAAGTGCAGCTGACGACAGTAGAGAGAACGCAGATGGATCGGGGTTGGCCCTTACTTCTCATGGGTCCTCGAGAGAGCCAGGTTGACCAGATGCCATCAAAGGTAACTAACTTCCCCTTCCAAAAATGACAAGAAAAGGAAAGTTCTCTCTTGCTAAAACTCCTAAGCAGATTTCGTTAAAAGGTGGGAGAAAATTATCTTAATTCTCTTTCTGAGATGTTTGGAAACACTCTAAGAAGGAGACCCGTGACTCCCTCAGATTTAATTCAGTGAGTAAAAATCTAATGGGATCCAGATCCAAGAAATGAAATGTAAAGACTGGATTTTACCCTGAGGAAGAAAGTCTGAATTTAATAAAATATTCCTTCTAGACACTAAGCCATGTAAAGGAAAGAACGAAGTGTCTTGATACAATTACCTTCTGAACAAATGCCTATTTTAAAACAACACTAAACTGATTATGTTGCACAACAAGTAAATAAATATTAAGTCCAGTTCATAAGATACATAAGAAATACCAATAATTTCCCCCTAGGATGTTGTAAAACTGTTTGCTTGGCCATTCTTTTTTGCCTAAGTCCCAGTCATCAAGGACAGCTGAGGTTCCATTTATTTCTACAGGGGTGTGTGTGTGTGTGTAAATGTAAGACTCCAGGATGAGTTGTAAGAAAAGACTCTCATTGTGATGAGTCTTAAAATTTGTAGTATTTAGGTCTGAGTTTTTCTTCTCTAAAATGTGAAATATTTAGCAAAAGTTCTATTTAATTTCTCCTGAGTTAGGTGAGGAATCTATTGTTCAAAATCCATTCAACTCCATTTGTTACGTTTTCAGATTCTCAAAAATTTCCATGGCTCCCTCTGCCAGCTTGTCTAGTTTTGTCACGATAACATCCAAAACCTGAGAGACAGAAAAGAAATTCTGAGGTTTTTTTCTTATGAAAGAAATATGGTCCTCTCAAACTGATCTCAAAAAAAAAAAAAAAAAAAAGGACCCAAGACTCCCATTACACCATGTGAAATAGAGCACTTGGCAAATACTGGAAAGCAAAGTCCCCTGAGGCAGGGCTTTCCTGGTGGCACAGTGGTTGAGAGTCCGCCTGCCAATGCAGGGGACACGGATTCGTGCCCCGGTCTGGGAAGGTCCCACATGCCGCGGAGCGGCTGGGCCCGTGAGCCATGGCCATTGAGCCTGTGCGTCCGGAGACTGTGTGTCCGAAGCCCGTTGCTCCACAAAGGGAGAGGCCACAGCAGTGAGATGCCCATGTACCACAAAAAAAAAAAAAAAAAAGTCCCCTGAAAAAAAAAAAAAAAAAAAAAGGAAAGAAAAGAAAAATTCCTATCCCTAAATATCAGTGTGTGTTTGTTTTACTTTGTTGTTGTTTTAGGCGGAATCAAACTTCTCTTTAAAAGTAATTTGGGGGGCTTCCCTGGTGGCGCAGTGGTTGGGAGTCCGCCTGCCGATGCAGGGGACGCGGGTTCTTGCCCCGGTCCGGGAGGATCCCACATGCCGCGGAGCGGCTGGGCCCGTGGGCCCGTGGGGCCATGGCCGCTGAGCCTGCGCGTCTGGAGCCTGTGCGCCCGCAGCAGTGATAGGCCGCAGCGGTGAGAGGCCGCAGCAGTGAGAGAGAGGCCCGCGTGCCACAAGAAAAAAAAAAAAAAGTAATTTGGAAAAGCATATATGTTGCTCCCTTTTCTTGTGTATTCCTCAAAGCTTTGTCAGAAATGTAAGCTCATGAACCAGACACAAATTCCAAAAATGGCACTGACTTCAAATCAGGACTATAGCTGTCCTTTGCAATAAAGTGTAAACTCAATGGAAACTTAGAAGTCAGTTCATCGAGATTTAGAAGCTGCCTGTGGATTTCTCGGGTCCCCCTGAAGAGGCAACTCTCCTGCTTATTTTTTCCAGCTATCATTAGTCTTTGATGACTTGGCATGTCAATCCAGCTCATCCAAATCATGTCAGAATTGAGAAATAGTTTAAAAAGGAGCCCTGTTTACTTAACCCTGAAGATTAGAGTTTTTAAATCAATCGAAGAATTAAGACTTTTTTTAAAGAACCACAGTTATTATTTACTTACCGTATACCAACACTGTGGTGAGGACTTTTCATCTATTTTCTTTATTCCTCCTAAATAATCCTAAGAAATCATTATTTTCCTATTTTATAGATGCTGGTCTAAAGAAGCTAAGTAACTTTCCCAAAGTCATTTTATTTGATTTCCCAGAATATTTGACAAAGTTGAAAGAATTATTGCAAGGGATCTTGTCTGGGCATCTTAGTAAATAAAATGCCAAATATGACAGGTTATCCATACTGTCATACTGTATACTGCTGGATACTTTATGTTATCCAGCATCACTAAGAGAGAGGTCAATCAAGTACTCTGTTGTCCTTGGAGGGTTATCATGTGGATTATCACATTTTAAAAGAATTTTAGATTTTTATGCTAAAATTAATTTTACTCTAAAATTCCACTGAACACGAATTGATTTTACTCCTAGCATAAGAGTTCAGAACACAGATTCTGGAGTCAGACAGATTCTGGGTTTGAGTCCTAGTTTCACCACTTACTAGCCAGATACATTTCATTCATTCATTCATTCATTTTTCAAATATTTATTGATTGCCTCCCTTGTACCAGGTATTGGTCTACAGCAGTAAATGAAAACTGATAAAGATGTAATTTCCAAAGGAGGAAAGTCCTATGAGAAAGCAAACAGGATGCTATGGGGGGAAATGGGGGTAGAAAATTCATTTAGATACAGTGGTCAAGTAGGTCTTCTGAGTGGTATCATTTCAGCTGAGATTTAAGGGAAAAGAAGGAACCAAGCAAGCATGAAGGAGGGGGTTCAGACAGAGGCCAGAGCAAGGGCAAGGCCCTGAGGCTTGAGAATGGCATTTGCAGGGAAGTGGAGAGCTGTTGTGGGTTGCCACACACTATGGCTGGAGAGGTAGGCAGGGGCGTTTTCAGCCATAAAAAATCTGAATTCTAAGTCAAGGGCAATTGTAAGCCACTAGAAGATTGTTAGTAGGAGAGTGGTATCATCCAATTTACTTTTTAAGAAATACTTTATCTTTTAGAGCAGTCTTTGGTTCACAGCAAAATTGAGCAGAAGCTACACAGATTTCCCGAATATCCCCTGCCCACACACATGCATAGCTTCCCCCACCATCAACATCTTACACCGAGCCGTGCATTTGTTACAATCAATGAACCTGCACTGACATCATCCGGAGCCCATAGTTTACACTAGGGTTCACTCTTGGTGATGTACGCCCTGTGGGTTTTGGCAAAAGTATGATGACATGTACCCACCATTATAGTATCATACAGAATACTTTCATTGCCCTGAAAACCCTCTGTGCTCTGCCTATTTATTCCTACCAACTTCCATGAAAAAATAACTCTAAACGCTATATGGAGAATGGATTTGTAGAGAGAAAGAGAGGAAGCAGGAAAAACAAGGGACTCTTGTACAGGGCTGGGTGGTTGGCAAAAGCCCAGGGACTTAGGAAGAAATAGATGACTTCGAGCTATATTTTGAAGGAAGAAGCTGTGAGACTAAGTCATACATGGGATTTGAAGATAGGGGAAAGATAGAAATCAAAACTGTTTCTGATTTGTACAGCAGGATGGATGATGATGTCATTTACTGAGATAGAAAAAGAGTGAGAAATAGTGTCAGGGAGAAAATCAACTGTTCAGTTTGGTACATGTTGAGCACGCAATGCCTGTAAGAGATCCAAGCAG